CAGAGAAAGATTTGACAGAATTGACTCTTGTGAGGACAGGAAAGAGAAGCTACTTAAGGGCTGTACAGTTAGCAGGGCATGGTGGCAAGTGTCTTTAATAATAGCATTTGGGAGGCAGAGGCAGGCAGATCTTTGTGAGTTCAAGGCAAGCCTGGAGCCTGGACTACAAAACAAGTTCAGGACAGCCAAAAAAAAAAGAGCAGTATAGTTAAGACAGTAGAGTAGAGTACAGGAGAGAGATAGAATAGAGAAGACAATACTGTAGAGTTCGGAGTTCAGTAAAGAAGACAATACAGTAGAGTTGAGTTCAGTTAAGTTCATGCAGGTTAGTTCATGGAATTCAGAAGCAGAGCAAATCAGAAGGTGAGAGAAGCCAGATTGAATCAGTGAATTTGGAGAAGAATTTGAGCCAGAACAGCAGAATTGAACCAGCCAGCCAGAGTTCAGAAAGAACAAGAAAGGGTGAGCAGTATGCAGCAGTAAGCCTCTGGGACAACAAGTACATCAGGAGAATAAAAGTTACTTTTATAGTGAAACTAATTAATGAGTTTATTGGGTGTGTGGGGGTGAAGAGTTACTTGCAGGGGTGTGGGTGACTCTCAAATGGCTGCATCACCACAGAGACACACCTCGTCATGGGTGGTGACCTCATGAAGTCACATTGTGGAGTATGTCCTGAGAATAGCCTCTTACTCTGCATGTAGTCTAGAATCTCTTAAGATCTGTTGCAGCCAGGGTCAGCGAGGGAAGGAAGGGTCTTACGATGTTTAAAACATCTGTTAGGGAGTATTAATAGCCCCATAAATGTTATCTTTACCCTAGACCTGGCTACCACTGCATTGCTGTGTTCCAGTTGCCATGGCTATAAGGGAAAAATTCAGGATGGCATCATGTTATGAGGAGAACGCTCTATTGAACAGCTACTCAGAAAGAAACATCCAGGCTGACTGACCCATGTTGCAGCTCCAGAGCCTCAGACATAAACTCATAAGTTAGACAAACATTGGTCTAAGGCTCACTTTAAAATACATGTATTTTAAAGTAATTTTATTACATTTAATTATTTATTGGGAGGGTGGGTGCAGTGGCAAGACATGAAGGCCAGAGGACAGCTTGCAGCTGTCAGTGCTCCCTTTCACTAAGAGGGGCTTGTGTTTTTGCATGTGGAGCCCTCTGGACAACCCATTTGTTTTTGTTGCTGTTGTTTTTTGAGACCTGGTTTCTCTACATAGTCTGGATGTCCTGGAGCTTGCTACATAGACCAGGCTGGCCTCTAACTCACATACATCTCCTGCCTCTGCCTCATGAATGCTGGACTAAAGGCCTGCATCACCATGCTGTGCTATATGTATTTACTTATTTTTTAATGAAGGAAGTGGCCCATGAAGTATGTTAAGAATTTATTGCCCAGCCCTAACAACAGCGATGAATATTAAACACACAATCTAGGCTGAAACAAGCAAAGCAAACCCTTAAACCCTGAGATACAAGAGTAGATGCCCTGTGATTCTCAAGTAAGAAACTAATCAAATTGGAAAGCTTTGAGTTCCCAGTGGGGAAGGGTCTCTAAAATAGAAGAACAAAGGCATGCTTGGAAGTAACAGTGTTCTAGACCTTTTATTGGGCTGCATACATAGCCATGGTACACAATGCTCTAGAATCATAACCTGAACCCTTAGGACCCGAGCATTTTTTCTCTTTAATTAATTAATTTATTTACTTTACGTCCTGATTGCAGCTCTTCTCCCAGCCCACATTCCCACCTCTTTCCCCCATCCCCTTCTTCTCAGAGAAGGGAGCCATTGCCCTCCCCCACATGCCATCTTGTCTAGCACTTCATCAGGACTAAGTGCATCTTCTTCCACTGAGGCCAGACAAGGCAGCCCAGCTAGAGAAAAATGATCTAACAGCAGGCAACAGAGTCCATGTCAGGGACAGCTCCCGATCTAGTTGCTAAGGGACCCACCCGAAGGCTGAGCTGTCCACCAGCTGCATAAGTGTAGGGGGCCTAGGTCTAACCATGCATGCACTTAGGTTGGTGGTTTGTCTCTGTGAGCCCTCATGGGCCTGTGTTAGTTGACTCTGTTGGTCTTCTTGTAGAGTTCTTGTCCAACTTCGGGTCAGGTCTCTCTATCCTCCCCCCAGCTCTTCCATGAAATTCCCAGAACTCCATCTAATGTTTGGCTGTGGGTCTCTGTTTGATCTACTGCTGGTGGAGCCTCTCAGAGGACAATTAGCTTGGCTCCTGTCTGCAAGAAAAGCAGAGCATCATAAACAGTGACAGGGGTTGGCTCTCTACCATAGGGTGGGTCTCAAGTTGGGCCAGCCATTTGTTGGCCATTTCCTCAAACTCTGCCACGTCTTTATTTCTTGCCCATCTTGTAGGCAGGCAGGGTAAATTTTGGAGGACCCAAGCATTTTGTTTTATGTCTATTATATCATAATTTTGAAAGGAGAGAATGACCTTGTTACAGCCAATACAAGGGATTTAATATTTAATATTTAATCTACAAGGGATTTAATACATGGGGCCTAAGACCATGCGAGACGACAAGATCTGAGGGTGTCTTTTTATATGACAGTCTCTGGGAAGGCACATGGCTGAACCTATACACTCTGACACCCTGGCACTATGATAGCCCAGTGGGGAAGGACAACTGTGCTCCCTGTTTGTTGCCTTGGTTTTAAACCAGAGTCCATCTGGCTGGAATGACTGGGAAAAGGATATATCTCCTGCCTCTGCCTCATGAGTCCTGCAACTAAAGGCCTACATCACCATGCTGGGGTATATATATATATTTAATGAAAAAAGTGGCCATGAAGCACATAAGGAATTTATAGGCAGAATAAACAAGAAGTCCTGAGATCGGCCTCTGCAAACAGGCAGCAGTTAGGGCAGGCAAACCAGGGCCGGATCTCAGAGAAAGCCATTCATCATCCTAAATACTCCATGTCCTTGCCTTAACCAG